ACAAAATTATCACCAAAATTATTAAATACCTTTTTATTACAGTTTTTGTGATGATTTTATCACTATAATCTGATACCTTTATCACATTTATGGGGGTTGTCATGCCCTTTAGCGTGGAAATCGCAAAACACCAGTTATCGCAAAAATTCAGTAAAAGTATCACAAAACGAGTTTTAGTGTAAAAATGCATCAAAAATTGGCACCCCTACAAAGGCATTAAAACTGAACAAAGGTGCTTAATTTTGAACGCTTGGGTCTTACAAAGGCATTACAATCGAACACTCCTTGTAAAGCATTAAGTCCTACCTTTCTTTTTCGAGTGATCTTTTATCAATACGCTCAACAGCGAGCCTTATCACTATAAACTACCCATATCTAAAACCTTATGCCATACTATCATAAGTCACTTAACGTCACCTATAGTACCACTCCGAAGCAATAGCACTGCAAAATCACTTTCACTGGTTCACTGCAATTATCCTGGTAGCATCACTTGGGCACACGACGACGCATCGCGACTTCCTCGGCGCGAAGGCAGGCACGAAGGCGACGCTTGGCTGCCACCACTCACCTGCTACATCCTGGGCAGCGCAGAGGGTTGCCACGAGGGCGAGGACGGCCAGGCCGAGGAGGGTGGCGGTGCGCATGGTTGTCTGTTGCTCGGGCAAGTGCGGTGCGTGAGCTGTGTCCCCCGCCCGGGGCACGACAGTCCTTATAGCGGGCACCCCACCACAGGGGCAGGAGGGTGCGGTGCGGAGAGGCGGGGCGCTCCGTGGCCTAAGGGCGGCCGGGAGGGGGCCCGCGACCCCCCCCCCCCTACACTCCCTACCCTTGTTCTGTCGCGATCCCGCGACATGGGCTCTTTTGGAAGAGACCACTCCTGACCACCCATGACTTCGTGCTTTGGTTGTCGCCAAACAGGACCTCCCCCCTCCACCTCACCTCACGACACAGGAATGATGTTTTAAAATAAAAGTACCACTGGCGGTGGAATCTTCGGTGATCTGTGATAGGACACAGCGGTCTGGAACTCCAGGGGCGGGGAAGGGGAAGGGGAGGAGGGGGCAACCAAGTCAACCTCACCTCTTGTCGTTTTGGAGAGATCCGCATTGCTACAACACACTTTTTTTTTGCGTATATATGGTTCAAATGTCAGCAGACACTTGATGAAAAAACGAACATCCAAACTTTAGTAAATCCATTTTTCCAGGCGAACTGAATCCTCGGCCAGCAAAATGCCCGGAAATTGTCGCCGATCTAACATATTTTGGCCCGCGGCCATCGCGTCGGCAGACAGACCATGTTGATGATGAGAGTTGTTGTGTCGCCCCGGACCACAAGTCCGTGCGAATTAGTGTGATACTGTCTCGCACGAAGTCTATCGGCCTTTTCTAGAAATAGTAGACTGACCAGTACCGAAGATTGAAACTGGGCCACATTGATGACGGCCGCCGAAGTTCACTTTTGCCGAGGTGATGTCGACGCGTGTGCGCGTCGCTTCGTTGTAACGCCGGAGCTGCGGGCGCTCCTCAACTCGGCCTTCTGCATTTAGCTCCCATTTCAAAGCGCCACCCGCTCCCTTTTGTCCGACCGCGACACACACATACGGAATGTCCACCGCGGTTCACTTCCGCCTCCTTCGCAGAGCGACGCGGAGCCAAACAAGCTTTGGGTCTAGGGCGGTGTGCGGTGTTTTGCGGCTCTCTGCTTCGAACACAACGGCCGTGTCCAGTTTGGTTTTATTCGGTGGTTTATTAACAGAACGGGGCTCACGTATACTGCAGTCCACGCATATGAACTAAAGTAATTAGCTATTAGCAGATCTTTCCTGCAATGACGCACACAATATCAGACTGATATAAAAATCTAGAAGATCTACGATTTTTATGTGAAATTGATTTTGAATCATGGTCCTGAAATTGGCAAATTTCAAATACCGATTATCGAGTTGATATCGCGTTGATATCGATCCGATATCGTATTGATTTCTCTGGGGGCAGTATGAGTAGGCGCTGACCGTCGCATCCGCCACCACGGCGAGGAGGAACAGGGCCCAAGGGCCCAAATGAAGAGTGCGTAAGTGCAATGGCATTGAGGCGGAGGGAAAGGGGGGAGGGGCGCAGGGGTTTAGGGCGTTAGGTAAGCCGAGATGCGTTGTCAGGGTGTTAATCGGGTTGTTACCGAGGTGCGATGCAGAGTGAGGGATGAGGAGTTGTTGTCCGCAGCGACCCTGACGGGCCCTGACCGCAGCAGCGCAGGGCGCCCTGACGAATGAGTTCATGACGGGTCAGTGCGAGTGCAGCACGCGCGTGCCTGAGGGGCCGGCACTGCAGGGAGAGCGGGTGCGCACAGCTTGAGGACGAGCAGAGAAAAGAGTCAAGCTCTGCACACATCGGGGATGATCGTGGTCGATTTGACTCATCCTGACCGGTTGCTTTGCAATACTCGTGCTGGAAAAGGTATCAGGTATGAATCAAACGAAATTACTGCGAAGCGCGTCTAGCGACCACCCCAGCAGAGGTCACAGGCACACGGCACGTATCCTTGATGTTATTCAAGAACCAAAGACACCGATTAAAGGACGCCCAATGTGTTTTTCCCTACCCCCGTCCTTGAATCGGTGTCTCGGTCCTTGGATATCAAGGAGCACTGTTAACGCCGTGGTCGCCTAGAATTCTTTCGAAAGAAGGCCAAAATTTGGCATTCAAGGAGGCCAAAAATTGGCAGCCTCTAAAAAGAAGGCCAAAATTTGTCAGTCAAAAAGGACTGCCAACATTTTGGCATTCTAGGCGACCACGGCGTTAGCAGTGATCTGTTTTTAACGTGTGGTTCTCATCCTCGCTTGAACATTTATACGCCCTATCAACTTTATAGGAAAAAGGTTTTCCTTGCAAAACACTTGCCACTGCCAGTCGAATAGTTCGTCAATTGACGTTAGTCGAGCCATATACCACGCATCTTTTCGCGCCCGAGAATATCTTTTCAAGGGTCCCGTCCTGGCTAGTTGGGCTAGTGGATCTCTTCTTCTCCAGACGCGGCAAGGGCCACGGTCACCTCCGGCGCGAACTTGAACTTGATCGTGAACTTGGTGTGCACATGGGAACCGGTCGCTTCTAGCCCAGGGGGGG